ATGCGCTGCGATAATTCTCCATTTGTTTCGGCTGAATTTGAAAAATTTGCTGACAAGCTTAACATTATACTACAATTCTCAAGTCCATTTTATGCGCAAAGTAATGGACTTGCTGAAAAAGGAGTAGCCATCGCAAAAAATATACTTAAAAGGTGCTATGAAGCACATGATATAGAACACTACCAATACAGGATACTAGAATATAATACCATACCTGTGGCCAGCATGGAGTTAGCTCCAGTGCAATTATTTTTTGGTAGAATATTAAAAATAAGAATGCCTATTTCAAACATATTGCTTGAAAGGAAGCATATAGGAGAGGAAACCGTTAAAAAAAATATCCAAGAAAAGAGAGAGAAACAAAGCTTTTATTATAATAGGAACGCGAAATCCTTATCGGTATTGAGCTTGGGTGATCTCGTTATTTTTAAGAAAAGCGAGAGGGAATGGAATTACGGAACTGTAGTAGGAAATGTAAACGATCGCTCCTATATTATCAGGGACAGCTTTAATAACTTCTTCAGGCGAAATAGGAGGTTTATTGCCAAAAATATTGTGACTTTAACGCCAGTGAAGCGTTTTTTGAAGAAAATATTAGGACAAATGTACCAAATCCAGGTGATCTACAGGCAATTAAGATCATGGCTTCTTCAGGTACGAATGAAAACAGCAATAAAAGTTGTGAACTGGTTTGTAATGTGGATGATTCAGAAATACCAGAACCTAATGATTCATCATTGGACGAGTATGATACAGCTGGTAGTGATGAATGTGAAGCAGAAAATAATAGTAGTCATGCAAGAAGCGAAAGTAATGAGAATAGTGAGGGAAACAATGTAATAGAACAATATCACACCACGAAGTGGCAGAATAGTGCGCCCACCCTAGAGATATGGATGGGTGTAATAAAAAACAGAGCGTGTAATATATACAAGAGGTGAACACAAGATTGTAATAAGTATGAACACAGACTAACAATGTAATAGTATACTACGTTTATACGTAAGCTATTTGCAAATAAAAATAATTTGCAAATACCTAACTCACTGTTTATTCGATGGTGAAAAATTCTTTTTTAATATTGCCTGATTATAAAAAGGCAATAATATGACCATCGAAAAAGAAAATAAAGTTAAAAATGGCAACATCTTGATTATAAAAAGGCAATAAGGTGACCATCGAAAAGGAAAATAAACCTAAGAATGGCGGCGTCTTGCGCTTATTTGCAAATAGTACCACTAATCAATAATTATTTCCGTGATTTAGTTATTTGCAAATAAAAAATTAACTCAGCGTTTATACGGCAAAATTTACCATTTTGCAAATTGTTATTTGCAAATAATACGTGCGTATAAACGTAGTAATAGTTCACATATTAGCGTCTATTGAATATGACTGTACACATAGTACAATGCAGTAACATATAATATTACATGTATTTTGTAAACGCACAGTGAGAAAAAACGCGTTGTAAGAATAAACAAATTTTATTTGATTACCATTTAAATCTAGTGAAAAGTTTTAACGAAATGGATTTTTCCATTATACATACACTACGTATAATGGAAATATTCAATTCAAATACGCCTGTATTAAAATGAAGCATTTTTCACTGCACGGATGGCGTTTTGCACGTCTCGGATGCTTTTTCATATGTAATATGGATGAAAAGCATGCACAGCGGTGACTACACATACACACATACATGGTATGACATAATGCACTAATCGCGCGCTATGATGCTAATTCAAACTCTACATTTGAAAGCACGCTTACATGTATGGATGTAGCTGAGTGTGCAAAGACGCTTGATACAATTGATTGCAGCAAAGAGGGTCCGGTTCAATTACCATCAGACGGAACATAAAATTAAGTTTTTTTTCTTCTTAGTTACGAAAAAGCATCTGCGCGTATTTTTTTAAATTTAGCAGGTTTTTTTTTTAATTCTAAAATTGTTTTCCCTCAGTGTGCAGCAATAGGTTGGTTCTCTAGGACTTTGGTTAAAAGCTCAAACAGTCAACGACGTAGCGTAATCGATGCGCAAAGTCAGAAGCGTTAACCACTGAGCTATGTACACCCCGTAAACTCTTGTTGCTATATCATTTTCCTTATACAACCAACTACTATCGAGTGCAGCTGATTTGCCGCTATTTAAACTTGAGAGCGTGGTTGTTGTTGTCAATTCTATACATCCATTTGCTTATTTGCTTTATTATATAGTTTCAGGTAGGCTCTTCCTAAACTATGTATTTTTCAAAGTTATTGTGGCTTATTAACATTTCATTTTTAAAATTTTTATTGAGCTTTGTACCACGATTGTTCATTAGTCAATGTAATGTTAAAAACTGTTCCAAATTAACGGGGACGGCATCCAAAAACAAAAAAAAACTAAATATTAAAAATATAAGCACACGTAGGGCCGTTTTCTTAAGTAACTTTTAACTTTAAAATTCACTTTATGTTTAAATATTGCTTTAACATGTATAGTTCTGTCTAAGTAAATCATTTTACTATCGTATTTTATTTATTTATTTACATATCTATTACTGAAGCTTACAATTAAAAATAAAATTATGAGCCTAGTAAAGAAAGCTACTTATGATCAATAACACATGGCAACAAAAATGGGAAAAAATTTGTGGCGGCAAATGTTACAGCTGTTTTTGATTGACTTGTCAGTGCTGATTACGAATCCATGAGCACAAGGCTTCCATCAGCTCCAGATTTTGTGAAAAACGAGGTCAAAATGTCAAAAAATNACTTATGATCAATAACACATGGCAACAAAAATGGGAAAAAATTTGTGGCGGCAAATGTTACAGCTGTTTTTGATTGACTTGTCAGTGCTGATTACGAATCCATGAGCACAAGGCTTCCATCAGCTCCAGATTTTGTGAAAAACGAGGTCAAAATGTCAAAAAATGGGGTTTTTTTTTGGCAATATATTTTAGAATCTCTAGCAAAGAAACAAAAGGTATTAGGCTTAAATTAAAGCTAGAAGACTCGACTACTATCCCTGAAAATACCATCCCTACACCTTGACCTGATGGTCACTTATAGTCATTTAGTGAACAGCAAAACCTGATTTTGTGCGAAGTTTGAGTACCCACCGCCTTCCACTTGGGCTGAAATTAAGGCTTAAACTTTCGACTACAATCGCTTAAAATACCATACCTGAACCTTAACCCTAAGGTCACTTATAGTTATTTATTTAACAGCAAAAACTGATTTTGGCAAAACTTATTTATTTTTTTCAATAGCACAGTATTTATTCCAGTATTTTTATTTTGTTCAATAAATGACATTCAGTGACCATCAGGTCAAGGTGCAGGGATAGTAGCCGAGAGTTATAGCTTTAATTTAAGCCCCAGTTAAAGGTTCTATCACCTTTTGTTTTTTGTGCTAGACTTTCTAAAATATTGCAAAAAACGCGATTTTTTGACACTTTGACATCATTTTTCTCAAAATCTGGAGCTGATGGAAACTTTATGCTTACGGACTCATAATCAGCATACAAAAGTTTATCAGAAACAGTTTTATCATTTGCCGCAACAAAATCACTGTTGCCTTGTTTAATTGTTTCTTATTATAAATTTTCAAATATGATATATTTTGTATAAATTTCGTAATATTATTTTTTGATTTGTTTACAGCCAAGAAACATACAAACGTCAAACACCGATAATAGAAATGCTTTACTTCAGACATAGCCTTATGGCTTGAAGCAACGTTTAAATATAAAGGGAGCTTTTCAATTAAAGGTTGCTTGAGAAATCGGCCATTAAAGGAGTAATCACAATGAAAGTATCACTTATAATAAAAAAATGACAAACTTAAAAAACTGACGCGCAGCTACATGGAGACATTATAAATAAAAACGGCTGTACTAGAGATTTTAAACTATCGATAGTCAACAAGCACTATCGATAGTTTAACCTTTTTTGAGAAAAACTATCACTACTCATCGATNTAATAAAAAAATGACAAACTTAAAAAACTGACGCGCAGCTACATGGAGACATTATAAATAAAAACGGCTGTACTAGAGATTTTAAACTATCGATAGTCAACAAGCACTATCGATAGTTTAACCTTTTTTGAGAAAAACTATCACTACTCATCGATAGGGGCAAAAAAATAAAACTATCCATACTATCGATAGTACCATCGATAGTTTGACACCTCTAATGTGTAGACTATGAGGCCTATACATGAATTTATGCATTACCACACATTACCTTTTCCCACTGGGTATTTATATACATACTACTTAGAAGAGAATACTAGGGGAATTAAATCCCGGCAATATTCTGTGCAAACGGCAAAAATAAAAACATATGTGACCAATTCCATCTCAAATCATGCAAGCCGACTGCAGCTATCTCCTGCAGCGAATACCTGAAGTTTCAGAATATTATTCTACTCGGTAAATGAGCGCATACGTAGGTATTTTTTATTTCGCAATATCATGAAAATTGCATGTTTTATGCACTTTTGAAAAATGACTCATCAAATTTCCATTCTCAAAAATCGAAATTTTTTTGTTCTAATTCGTATTTTAACTGACATTTGAAAATAATTATATATCTATTCGATGCTATGGGTAATGTTCTTTCGATCTGCCACTTTTACTTTTTTTTACAAAAAAATTAAGATGACATTACACATTTCATAAAAAATTATAAATTCATTTTTTCAAAAAAGCCATCTTTTTTTTGGTTAATTTTTTTTAAAGATAGCTTGTCTAAATACCTCTATTTTGGTATATCTATTTTGGTAAATGTTGGGCATGCCATTATAAATGAAATGTGAGGAGGTCCCATCGATACCACATCCGCAAAAAATGTATTCGAGGTCAAAAGTCTCATAAGTTGCTTTTATGCATTTTTCAGCCAAACTTTCAAGTGATTCGTAAAGATAGCTTGCATGATTTGAGATGGAATTGGTCATGTACTGTAGCGGAGTTCAAGTTATCCACCACATATAAATTGTATTCTTACCCGCTGTGCTTTACGCTTATCGGCCCGTTGATTTTGATGATATATTCTGCTAAAGTTTGATACAATAACAGGTACAGGTAGAGCGATCACAAGGACTCCGCTGAGCGAACAAACTCCTCCTACAATTTTTCCAGCAATAGTTTCAGGCACCATGTCACCGTAACTAGAAACAAAGAAAAAATTACCTTAAAAAATTTCTTATTTACGATTAGAAGGTTGAGTATACAACTGAGTTATTCACAAGTTGTTATAACAGTCATAAATTTTAAAACGTTTAAAATTACATTGCGTTTGCTATAAATGACCCAAAAATATTCACTTTTGTAAAATTATATTCAACGATTTTTTTTGAGCTTGAGGGCGTTTTTAATGAAAAACTATTTTGGAAAAGCAACAACAATTTGAAAAAATGGTAGAAGTGATAGCTATTTCGGAAATCACTACATTTCCTCATCAGACTTCTTCGGCGGGCTTCGAACCGACGACCCTATCTGACTCAGCCAGTAGCCTACGCACTGTGCGTGAGCGAAGGAAAAATCAGGACACTGCATTTTTGAAAGTTAGCATGATCACTTTCTTTTCCATCAGACTTGAATTTTGAAATGATTATTTTTACCCTCAATGGTAAGAATTGAGAGTTCTCAGTTGAGAGTTGTGGGATGTAGGCAATTGCAGCAAATTGCAAGCGATGCTGTGAAAATCCTTTCCAAGGTCGCCAACAAAAGCTCAACACCTTCTTTAAGTACACTAGGTAGGATGCCAAGGATAAAACTTAATAGCATATCTTATGGCATCTTCATTCGCCACAGCTCCTGCAACAAGCCCGTTGTGCCTTGACACAGTGGTTCTCTATTTATGTGTGTCAATCGAAAAATTTTGTACGTGTATTGCAGTTTCGGTCTTTCTAGTTTTGCATGGATGTTATTATGTGAACGATGTACAAAAAAAGCCCCTAACGATATGTTTACGCAGTAAAAAGTTTCTAAAAGGTCAGCTTTGTAAAAATCAGGACAAATGAAAAATCAGTCAGGACAATTTAATTCGGCCCTGAAACCAGGACATGTCCTGATAAATCAGGACGTCTTGTCACCCTACTCCCATAGTAAAAAATTAATAAATATTTTGTTTAGTGAGATACTGGTAATCGATTCAGGTATATTTTGTCCAACATAGAACAAGAGTAATCGCTGCTTACTCAACTCAGTTATTTTTTTATGGCACTCTTCAAACCAAGAATTTTTGATGAAACATTTTTTACCGCTACCTTTTTCAATAAACAATTAAATATAACAAATAAAGAAAACATATAGCGCATTCAATTATCTATCTATATATATAAAAGCGAATATCTGTTGGTCTATTACCTTATAACTTCTGAACCGCGACATGGAATCGCACGAAACTACGCACACTTATTTTCTTTTACCCCGGGAAGGTTATAGGCATAGAGAAAAATGGTCAGTACTGGAAAAGAGGGCGTGGCACCTCCTATACTAACTAAAATGTTCATGTTGTATATCTCTTGAAATATTTGTGGTAGAGCATTGGAACTTGGTGTCGACATAAATAAAATTAATTCCATACTCAAGGATAAAAATGGGCTGTATTGGAAAAGGGGGGTGGCACCGCCCATAGGCGTGAATTATTTAATCAGATCTAACTTCGGAACCGTAAGTCACATGCACTTTAATTTTGGTATGCAAACATATCTACGGTAGATTCTTATATTAAGGTATACATAAATGAGTTTGTAAAAGGGGGCGTGGCACATAACATAGGCGTGGAGTTTCTAGTCAGCAATAACTTCGGAACCTTAATTCACAAGAACTTGAAATGTGGTATGCAGACATATCTATGGTAGGTGCTTGTAGTAAGGTATATATATAAATTAGTCTGTAAAAGAGGCGTGGCACATCCCAAAGGCGTGGAATTCTTTATCAGCTGTTAGTTCGGAACCATGTCACATGAGTTCGAAATTTGGTATGCAGACATATCTATTGTAGGTGCTTATAGTAAGGTATATATATAAATAAGACTGAGTGCGTGGCAAATCCCAAAGGCGTGGAATATTTTACCAGCTATAACTTCGGAAGCATAAGTCACATAAACAAGACATTTGGTATGCAGACATATCTATGGTAGGTGCTTATAGTAAGGTATATATATAAATAAGACTGAGTGCGTGGCAAATCCCAAAGGCGTGGAATATTTTACCAGCTATAACTTCGGAAGCATAAGTCACATAAACAAGACATTTGGTATGCAGACATATCTATGGTAGGTGCTTATAGTAAGGTATATATATAAATAAGACTGAGTGCGTGGCAAATCCCAAAGGCGTGGAATATTTTACCAGCTATAACTTCGGAAGCATAAGTCACATAAACAAGACATTTGGTATGCAGACATATCTATGGTAGGTGCTTATAGTAAGGTATATTTAAATGAGTTTGTAAAAGAAGCACTTAACATAGGCGTGGAATTTTTCATCAGCCATAACTTCGGAACCACAAGTCACATGACCCCTTTGATTCCTTCTGACGTGGGTGAAACTCGCGAGAAAAAGCTAGCACTACATATAATAAGTACAAGTTTGAAGTAGCCTGGATTTGAAATTTTCATATGGGACCGAAAAAAATTTTTATATTTGACACAGTCTAATATGTATAAAGGAATAAAGTTCATCAAAATAAATCCTGTTCGTTTCCAAAAAGTTCAATGTATTTAAAAATTTATGAGGCTAATTCAACAATAGTCAAATGAGGTTAACCCCGATTCAGGCCTATTCTGCATGTTACGAAAGATTTTGTAACCGCTATTCTGGGTTCGGTGGTAAAGCTGTAGACAGCGTTTGAAAATGCTTTCATGTTTTTATTTCATTTGCTTCGACTTTACTGTGGCTGTGTGAATTTTCAAAGCCAACAGCAAAGCAAAAGTAAAAACAAAAACAAGTAAGAAAGTCTAAGTTCGAGCGGAGCCGAACATTAAATACCCGGCGCAAGTATTAAATATATGATTTTCACCTTTCCGAAAGCTACCGCTACATGGTAAGCCGGGGTGTATCAAGTTTGAGTAATTAGCGTCCTTAAATTTCGAAATATTGAAGTTTCAAGCATTTCTGAAATTGACCGTTATATGAAAAGCGGCTTCAATTTTAGTCCGATTCCAATAATTTTCAACGTTTTGCTTTTATGTGGCAAGCACAATAACCATACCGAGTTTAGTATAAATAGGTTGAACGGTTACCGAGATACATATGTGTGATCTTAAGTGTGCGGTGCCACGCCCATTTTCAAAATTTTATCACAAACGTATTTCTTGGTAAAGAATTGTTGCAAGCATAAATTTTGAACAAATTAGCTTTAAGATTTACTGATTTATAGAAGATTTCGTATTTCTCCAAATTACCCTTATTAGGGATGTGGGCGTGGTTATTCTCCGATATTAAAAATTGTCGGCCATTTGGTATGCTGTAGCAAGGCCAACAACAGTGCCAAGTTTGGAAGAAATTCGTGCAGCGGTAACCATAAGTGGGCATGGTTACGCCCGTTTTCCAAAAATTTATAACATTCTTATTTTTCGTCGAAAATTTATTGTAAATATCAATTTTGAGTGAATAATCTTCAGTAGTTACCAAAATGTCGCAGTTTTCGTATTTCTGAAAATTACCGTTATATGGGAGGTAGGCGTGGTTATTGTCCGATTTTGCCCATTTTCAATACCATCCGTCCTACGTCCGAAAGAAGTGCACGTACAAAGTTTCGTTAAGATATCTCAATTTTTACTCGAGTTATCGTGTGCACAGACGGACGGACGGACAAACAGTCACCGCTTAATTGATTTCTCTCTTCATTCGGATCATTTATGTATACCTTTGTCTATATCTATCTCGATTCGTTTTGCCTGTTACAAACAACCGTTATGTGAACAAAGTTATAATACCCTTGAGCACAAGTGTGCTCGGGTCGTTTTCAATGTGTTCAGAACTTTAATGTGCTGTAAAAATCCTTGCAGATTTCTGAACAGTTCTCAACGACATTCATCACACAAATATGTAGATATGAACTTGCAATGCCTCTAGTTAAATATATAAGCTAAGATAACTTTTCATAATCGAATATTATTATTTAGGCAAAAATTACTTAAGCATATCGACACTTGAGTGGAATGTCGACCTATCTCGGCAGACATTTCGAAAACGCCCTATCTCAAAAAACGTTTCAAGAACGCCGTATTGCAGAATTTTGTTGAAAAACGCCGTATCTTAGAATTAGGTTCAAAAACGCCCTATCTCAGCCCATTTTCAATACATTTTCATTTGAGATAGGATATTTTTCAACCGAATTCTGAAATACGGCCTTCTTCAACCAAATTCTAAAATACGGCGTTCTTGAAAACACGCCCTATCTCATCCCATTTTCAATAAATTTTCATTTGAGATAGGGAGTTTTTGAACTGAATTCTGAGATAGGGTGTTTTTCAGACAAATTCTGAAATAGGGCGTTCTTCAATCAAATTTTGAAGTAGAGCGTTCTTGGAAAGTTTTTTCGTTTTACTGTAATTTGCTTGGCGATGCAAATTTATATTATTTTTCATTTCAAATTTGCAGAGACTACATATATACACACTGTTTTCCCAATGTCTTTATTAACAAAATATATCTCCAAATCAGGATTGCCACTTTGGTAAATTATAACACAAAACCAGCTCCTGGGTAGCCTCTGCTACTTTTGCTTGTCTCCTGTGACGCTTATGCCCACAAAACACTGTGGGGAAGTACTGACACTAATGAAAAAGGTGAGTCATTATTAGACTTAATTCTAGCAAATAAACTTAGTGTTATGAATTTAGGCTCAGAGCCGACCTTTATAACAAAGAACAGAGAAGAAGTTCTGGATATAACGCTGACTTCTGACATGTTTGCTTATAACATCAAGAGATGGAGAGTCTCGACTGAAGATTTCTACTCTGACCACCGTTACATTGACTATAAAATAGATGTTGGGACCCCCCAAGTCAGCGAGTTTAGAAATATACAATAGACAAAGGGGAGTTACAACAAAAAACTAAAGATGCCTCTCCAAGACCCCACCACGCGTGTGGACGGATTGGTTAATCAGGTAACTAAAGCCATGAATAGTTTTTTAGCAGCCGGATGTCCGG